TATGATTCTCATTTTTATTTCTGATACCTTATTTCATTTTTAATTTAATATATTAATTAAATCCTGTTTACATAATAATGAATTTATTTTTTTTAAATTATAAACATTTAAAACCATATCTAATGGAGAATTAAGGTCATACATTTTTTTATTTATTAAATTAGTAAAATTTAAATTATAAAAATTTACAAAATATTCAGAAATATTATTATTTATTTTAAATACAGATTTTTAGTTAAAATTAGAAATTAAAATAAAATAAAGCCTAAGAATAAAAAAAAATTCTATGTTAATACTTTGAAAAATTAATATTTTATATAGGTAAAATATAGAAAGACAAAAAGTAACAAGTCTAATTTTTCTTTGGTCAGAAACAAGACTGTCTTTCTATCAAACAACAAAAAAAGAGAGCTTATAAAAATCTTGTAATTAAGTCAAACTGAGTTCCGAGTCAGACACAAACGCGTCTCAAAAGGTTAAGGAAGCAAACGAGAAAGTTATTACTAACTACTAACTAGGATTCTTATAATCGTGAAATGACAAAAACGCCCTTGTTATTTCCCGAAATGGTAATAATATCCCGGGATCGTCAAAAAAAGTGAACCATGGCTTTTATGGATTAAAGAAACACAAGTGAAGTAAAAAAACATTTCGAATGCCGAATATTTGAAGATCGGTTTGTGATATAGTTTGTTAAAAACAGTGCATGCGATATTTTACAAAGATAAATACATAATAGTTACAGCCAAATGATTTAAAGGTGAAGTCCCAAACTAATATGAATTATTTTGAAGGTAACCCGAAATGGTGATTACAACCTGGCTTCACCAAAAAAAGTTGACCATGTCTCGGACATATATACATGTAACTTGTACAACATTATAAAATTAATATTGTGTAAATACTGTAAAAATGGGAGTTTTATATATGCATATATATAGCATAAGGTGTTTTCCAAAGAAAAAATTGCCTAAGGTAAGTACTAATAAAAAGCCATAATCGTGATGTATAAGTCGTCATAAATCACAAGGCTAATGTACATGCATGCACGGTGACGTTTCAAAATTAGCGCGATATCTCACTTATCATCTTGAGCTTGCTTTTTCTCTCTTTTAGATTAGTTTCCTTTTGATAAGTTTCCTTTTGATAATTAAGTAATCAGGGTATCTGATTCTTTTAAGGAATTCTATAGCAAAACAAAGACATAAAAACATATCTATCTTATCTATGCCTATTCTAGCTCAACTGCCTTTATAAACTAATCAATGCTCACACTTTCTAAGAAAAATAATATTCTTGCGCACACTTTTTGAAGATAGAATCTCTACGTCGAGTTTTCAAGGAAGACGAGTCTTAGAGTAGTGTTAAGTTGTTATAGCCACCATTCTGGTACGAAAAGTTGCTCACTCGCCGCCTCTTGGATTTGGCCGATGTATAGTCGGCTTATACGCATGTATAGTTATTCGTTTATGAAACTTCCTTAAAGCCCTCTAGTATATACTTACTAGTTGCTAACAAAAAGAGAAACATATATTTTTTTTTTAACAGAAACATATATATATATATATGTACGTTAAGAGTTGCCTTTGTATTGAGTCTCCAAATTTTCATATTATTTAGTATAAAGCAATTGTGAATATGTTTATTTTGTGCTTTAGATTTCGTTGACAGCATTCAAAGTATTTTTCCTTACGAGAATTCAGCATAGACCATCGAGACGACTAGTCTATCATTAGTTCAAATTTTTTTTTTAGACTAGGGACTAAGGACAATAACACATGTAACAGAGTTTAATACATAAACTATATGTGCAGCCTGTATATGTGTTGCGTCAAACGTAGCAATGAAATCGAACTTAGATCCAGATAACTCTGTTTGGGGAACATAACTGAAACAACATTGAGCTAGTGACGCTAAAGATAGCTTTGTAAACGTTCTTTTCCAACATTTTTGCACTTGTTTATGTATATTAAAAATTCGTTTTTGTTAATATTATACGCTTGACCAATTATTTTGTCAGATGTGGCGGAAGCATGGTCGTTATTTTATATTGGTCAAGTAACAAGGTTTTGTTTCGACATCATGACCAAACTCTATGCTACATACTCGCTATGACATCTGATGAAGTTATAATCTACAAAGTCAAACATAAATTTAATATGAGTTTAAATACAAATAGCTGTATGTCAATATTTTTGGCACAATACGTACGGTGTCTCTAGCTTGACAATTCAAGGGTTGCATTTGAAAAACGTCGCACCACAGTTGAATAATTGAACTCTTCTTTCACCTAAGAATTTCGACGGCAAATATCCAGGTTGCCCTTTTTTCGGGTAAACTTTCAAATTAATTTAATACAGAACATGCTAGCACGTGAAAGATGAAAAGTTGTGTGCGTGGAACACACATACCAACGTGTCACTTTCTCGTGGATGCCTAGACCACGCAAGATCTAGTTATCTTCTTATCTTTCGTTACCGGTTAATATCTGCTTTTATACAGTATAAAACTAGTTAGGCTACACTCTTTGCTATATAAATTAAAACGAGTGATGGCTATAAGATCATTCATGCATCCTAGCACTCGATTCCTATCTTTAAATCCACATGACATCAACTTTTTTGCTTTTCACTCGAATAGTACTAAACTATAAACTTTTAGTTTTCATTTCTGTGAGTATTTCTCAAAGACGATTTCTCAGAAAAGGTTTTTTTTTCCTAAAAGAATTTAAGAATAACTAAGTATGCCTTAATAGGACGAAGATGCAACGACGGATACTAGTTCCTTGTTAATGTAAGAGATGCATCAAAATTTGACTATAATTAAATCATATTTTGTATTCTCTTTTACTATAATTAAATTTCGATGCTCAACAAAACGAAAAAGATCGATGAAATTATACAGCAAACGTCTACAAATATAAAACGTTTGAAATATCTTTAGTTACCTAAATCCTTATTTATAACTTTTTATCAGCATGAAAAATGTATATTGAAAGATCTTGTTAAAGTCATAGACAAATTAACATCCATAACTCAAGCTGAGTGTATTAGCTAGCACTCTATCTAATGCGATGCGTGTTTCTTGCAAAAGGCTGCACTTGAATGTGTCAACTATGGCTAACCTGTTATAGTTGATTACTTAGCTCTCTGATTTTTGTTTACACAGAAACTTATGCAAGATTTCCATAAAAAGGTCAAAGTTTCTTAGATTTAACTATAATTCTGATCTACATGCATGTTGCAGTCCAAAGTTGTTTAGACCAAACCATGCTTGGATAAAATTAAATATGCACTAAAATTTCAGATTAGAATGTATCAGATTCAGCTGCCGATTAGAGATCTCTAAGTCCATTAAGATACATCGACTACAGCATCTTCCATTATGTTCCGATGGATATTAGTTTCAGACGAGATAGTTCCATCAATCAGTTTTTGTCGAAAATCCATCAGAAAACTGATTTATGACAGATTCCTAACGGATTTGGCTGTTTGGAATAGCTTGTCTTTTTTGTAGTAGCCGTTTTGTGTAAACATCTCTGGAACTTACACATTTCAAACAAATCTTAAGGTTGCTTCTGAAATCAAATATGGACTTCAACCAACTTTGTAACAAATCAATGTTACTATCCGATTTATTCATTAGCTTCAGGCACTTGGGCTTTGTTTCTCTCTAATACCTATGGGCCAGCTAGCTCACGTAAAACGTTTTCAATATTTGTTTTTGTTTTTCTCGGTGGGGACCATAAAGCGTGATAATATAAATAAATACTATAGGACAGTACACTATATTAATTATAGTCTCTTTTGGACAAAATAAGAACAAAGATTCTATATTTTTTGCATATGTGAATAAAGTTCATTTTTGTGCAAGTGCAAATTGAAAGTAAATGACATAGACGGGGAAAAGAAAGAGCCCAAGTGATAGAAAAATGGGACGGCAGACGTATGACTCCATTATTTTACGAAATGATTAGTTGAACTAATCATATAAAGTTAAAGTATACAAAGCCAAGCTCTTATCATAATGTATGCACAAGAGTCAAAGCCATCCCCAAATGTAACAGTCAGTTACACTTCAAACTCCAACTTTATTGACACTATAGCATTTGAAAATGTTTTAGTAAATTTACATGTTTTACTTAAACAGATCTCCACAAACTCAACATATTATGTTTTCTAGTTCTACACTGTTTCCAAAATCTACAAAATTATTTAACATGAATCTCTCAAACACACATCTTTGTTTCGTTTATAAGGGTAGATTTTGACAAAAACAAATCGCAGTTAATCAAAGCCCATTTTGAAGCAAACAACACATTCTAAGAAAACATTAGTGAAACGACAATAGATGCTTCATAAGCAGATATTAGATATTGTAGTAACTTCTAGCCAAGAAACATAGAAAACAAAACTTGGAGTTCAAATTTTCTGTTTGCCTAAAGTTATTTCACTACACAGATAGACGCTTGTGTTGTGTACGTTTTACATTTACATCTTCTAAATTATTTTCTTCTCTTTTTCGGTTTGATTATATTCTGTAGAGCAAGTTGAAGGAAAATATACAAGTTAGTAATCGAAATGTCGAATCAATGTAGTTAGCCAATATGTGAGTGCTTACACGTTACAATTATGCTCAAATAAGATTCTTATTTTGGATTTTATCATAATAGAATAAAATCCAAATTTTGGATACTATCATTTTGAAACAAATGATAGTGTTATGAGTTAGTGAAAATTAGACAACCAACCTATCTAATTTATTCCATAAACAAGAAAACATATCTCAAAACGAATTGTAAATGTAAATTACCTATTCATACGTTGCATTGTAGCCTTTTTGATCAAAATAAGTAAAATTTGAGACCCAAACAAAAAGAAATCAGTGCATTGTCTAATAGCTTAAAGAAGCACCTTATTCAATTTCTATTTTGTGATAGATAATCATCATGAAGATAAGCATGGCCCTACTACTACCTTCGATGGTTTTTGTTCATACATGTCTTTTCAATATGATACAAGTAGTAAGAATATCCTTTTCTATCATCAAACTTTAATCGAATAGTATCAACATTATTTTGTTCTTGTTTAACTACTAAGCACACAATGACAAAAGTCATTAGCAATTGGGAAGAATCAAGAAACAAAGCAAGACTTATACATATAAGCATTTAGCCAAAAACTTTCCACAGGTAAACAACTCCGGCAAAAAAAAAACATATACATAGACCAATTTTGGTTAATTATCTGAAAACCGGATCCTTACCAAGTGGTGGTCCTTAAACCGACGGTTATCACCCGGTTTAAAAACTTATTTTTTTCTTCCAATAATGAGCTTTTTTTTTAGGTCAAACTGGCGAAACAGCTATCAGACCTAGACAAAACATTTGGAACACAATCATCATGTTCATCTTTAGAAGGACTACTAGGCATTGATCTAGGCATCCTTGGAGAATCCAAGCTTCTTCTCAAGATCTGTCTCATGGCTGAGATCAAGTGTCCTGTAGGATTAGGAGGTGGGCTTGAGGATTTGAACTTGTAACACGTGTTCATGTGTCTTGCCATAGCTTCCTCTGTAGTTAGCAATCGTTTAGCTCTCATGACTTCGTACTTCACAGCTTCGGAACATAGACCACATATCCATTTCCCCATGTAACGTTCTTTGATCATCTCTATATACGATTGTGTACACTCCTCGGTTAATCCGCAACAGTCACACGTCACGTGCTCTGACTCGTCGCATGAGAGTTGTGTTGTTGGCGCTTGAGACGGCTGGTGAGAGTTGATCATGACCTCTGGTGTTGAGATTAGCAACGTTGGATCGCTTAGTAGACTTGTGGTCATGGTTTTCTCGATTTAAAATCTGCTTAAAGATTATAAGTTAGAATCAGATTCAAGTTCTTGAAAACATAGCAAGAAAATCAAGAAAGCGAAAAATTTACCTGTAGAAAGATATGAGATGGTAACGCAAACTAAGCTTATGATCTTTTGAAACAGAGGAAGGACTTGAAAATAAAATAAAAACTTAATTTCTTGAAGAGATTTGATTACTATTATTATCTTTCGATAACCCACTCTCCGTCTTCTAGGTTACCTTCTTCACCAAGAAAGATTTCACAAAACAAAACCATTTCAAACTCAATATATTAAAAACACACAACAAATAGTTTTTTTCTTGGCTTCTCTTTATATCAAAATATTACCCTTTTTTTTTACCACACAGAAGTTTCAGAAGGAAGAAGAAATATTTGTAGAGGGAGAGAGAGAATGTGCAGGCGAAGGAGAAGCAATGATTGGTGTTTTAAAGGTGGAAGAAACTGTGGCAAAGGCAAGAAGAAGCATAGTATAAGCCACGTCAGATTCTTTGATATTCTGACAACTTAATCCTCACCGTCTATCTGGAGTTAAGCCAGCTGGCTGACGAAACCGACCTCCAAAACATATTCACACACAAACAAAAAAAAATCATTAATTAAATATGTTTAATCAACTTATTTTACTCGAGCCGTTTCGGTTTGGTTTCCATTTGACTAACTTAGCTAATCAGAAACAGCCACGTTGTCGTGACGGCGTTCCCAACTAATTTTATTGTTCAACTATGCACGAAAACAACATATAGTATGTAGCTAATCACGGCATTGCCGGCAAGTAAGAAAATCACGGGATTTATTTTTGCTAATATTGCAGTTATTGTAATTTGTATTCCAAGTTTTGAGTTATAAGTTTAAATCTTGAGTCCGAGTATGAGTTTTCTTTATGGGTTAGTTTGTAATTCTGAAGATGTTTTTGAATGTATGTGAAAATAGTTATAAGACCAAGTCAATCATTAATTGCTAGTTAATTACGTGTTAATCGTGGTTTCATCTTCATTTTATCATCTTTCTGCCTTCAATGCTCTAAAATGATTAGATGCCAATAATTGACATAGTTATTGACGCGATTAGAAACCATGATTTTATTTGCAAGAAACCATGCATAATTTCGTATAGGGAAGAATTTTTTATATTTTTGCTATACTATTTATAATAGAAAAAACCTTGAAATTCAGAGACATGTCATTAGCTCAAAAATAACATTACAAAACTAATATAATACTATAGGTTATGGTTTTAGATTCAAAAGAATTAAGAATTTGAATCCAGAGTTTCCTGATAGTTAAAAAGACATGTTATTAATTCATTTTTCAGAGGTGGCTTGCAAAAAAAGGTTGTATATTAGTATTATTTATCAAAAGTAGTAATAGAATATATATAATGGCCACGTATATAATTCATATTTTAAGCTGAGTGATAGGGTGGAATAATTAAACCAAAGGATATGCCTTGGTGGCGATTCCTTATAGATCCAATATACACCTTAAAGGCCAATGAGGTAACAGCAAGTTGTAATAGTTTTAAAATAATTTCCTTGTTACTTTAATTATTTATCTTATTATGTGTTACAATAAACAATAGATCGACATTGACAAAAGAATAAAGCAACAGAGCGACGAATATTTCCCCAAGCAACTTCAGATAGAAAATAGCCAAATAAATTGTTCCGGTTTGGCCGATTCTGGTTCAGTTTCAGGTTCAGGTACATCTACATATGTATGGCTAATCGTCCATCTTAAAAAGCCAAAATATTCCAACAAAAACATGGAAATTGTATAGACTAGTTACTCCTTTTAAATCCACCTTCGTATTTCACTATAGCTTTACATTTTATATATAACATCGTTAACTCTTAGCGTTCATGCTGGTATATTCTATAAACATGTCTTGAAATATATATACATAGTCTGGGACGTTATGGTTGAATGGTAAGGACATCTACTTGGATGCAAACCCATTTCAAGTTCCATCCACATGCCCTATAAACCTAAGTCATATTGTTCATAGACATTCACGTGTATATAAATTTATATACGACCTGTAAAATCTTGCACTATAACTTTAACCTAGTCTAGTTGGAATCCTATATACAAAGCATGTAGACAAGATATCATAAATGTCTTTTATGAAGACGTCATATAAAAAGTGTTCACATTGATCCTATGGGAAAACTTCAAAATGTGTTTCGCGTGGATGATTGATTCACAACCCATACATATGGAGAGACAGATTCGTTGATGTGACCTTCAATTTGGTAAAATTGGCCTTTCAATATGTATATGATTTTTCAATAACATATTTCTCGATTGATCGATGACCAAAAGGTCGTGTTAATAGAAGTTATAAATAAAATTATATTTTCTAGGGTTTAGTGTAATTTAATACATGTCAACTCCGAAACTGGATGCATTATGCAATACACAGAAGAAATGGAAAATCTATTATTAATAAGATATTGACGTGACTTGACTTATGCATCAGACTGGAGAAATCTAAAATAAAATAAGTTCCGGAAGTGAAAAGCCATCGTACAAAAGCTTTCCCGTTTTGCCGACAAATCCAAAAGACAAATTTTCACCGGCAACCAGAAATTATACTGGTCTCTTTAGAATATATAGTTTTAAAAATATTTATAAATTTAGACGTTTTAAAGAAACCTTTTAGTTGATTTTTTTTAGAAATAAGCATACAGGCTATCTCTGCAAAAATAAAGCACTAAATACAAATTCTAACCTTTTAATATACAATTAGTCATAAACTTTTAGTTTCCATTTTTAGAAGGAAGAAAAAAGCAGCAGATAAATAAAGAAACATTGAATTCTCCCAAGAACCAAATAATTGTAAGCATCTAAATAGAAAAGAAAATACAGAAAGCCCTGATCATATGAATTTGGATTTTAGCCTTAGAGTTTGATTTAGTCTTTAAACCCAATCTAAGTAGTGATATTAGGCCAGGGCCTAGGCCTCTGAGAGCTAGAATGCGTATTCTATTTTTACATCGTCTCTTTCTTTGTTGTATCATATTCATATGTTACCTCTATTATGTACTCGTTTTTAATAATAACAAGAAATATCAGTATATAATTTCAACTAAGTTTTACGAAAATACTCAATCATGTAAGAAATCAGATAACCATATAATAAGATGAATAATTGAATCATAACACAAATAAGAAAGTTATATTGAAAAAGATAAAGAAAAAGATAAAAAGTTATATTGGGAAGAGGATTATACATTTTAATCAGAGTACATCCAGATTCAGATTCGGTGCTGGGTATCAAAGACGGACGAAGAACAAGTACCAGTAGACAGTAAACAAAAGGACAGGACATTAGTTATTTTCTTACATATATCTAACAAGATTGGACCGTATATTTCGGCTTAAGAGACAAACATATATTAATTTTGGATCCAAAGAGAAAGACGTACGACTATATATATATGTATATCAAAGTATAATAGTAGGACTTTTTTTGGTAAAAGTTAGGGGATTTCTTTTAAAGGGCATCGGAGAAAGGAATGTTGAATGGATTGAGAAAGGAAGCGGAAGAGAGAATACATTCCAAAAATGGAAATATTTCATACACTTATGGAAAGGTTACGAAACACAAAGAGACCTCGTCATGCTCACTCCATGTGCTCCCTCCACATTTTCTTCTCTTTTTTCTCATCTGGATGTGTGTGTGTGTCTCTCTCTATCATATCTCTCATAAGTTTTACTCAACCAATTTAATCCCCTCTAGGGCTCTAATATATTTATTTAACAACAACTTGACTGGTATGACTCATTTAGTTAATCCATTCTTGGAATGAGCAAACTATCAAATGTCCAAATCCGATTCTAAGAAGATATTTTGTTGGGGTTAGCTAATGCATTCGTGCCATGAGGTAATAGCCAGAAGTAGCTTTATTTGAAGTCGCATCGTTCTCCCAGGCATAAAGCCATCTCCTGGAACATCCTATAATTAGCTTTTCTTCTTAAACTGCTGAATGAAACATAATGCATTCTAAAAGATGGGATTTACTCAAGACGTTTATCTTGAGGGGTCGTATAGAAATATTCTCATGTATATATCAGATTGTCGTATATCTTCTCATTGTATATATAAGTCTCAGGTTCATCATTCAACAAATAGAGAATATATTCATCTTCCCCTAGGTAAATATGCATATAACTGACCCAATTCTCCAACACTAGGTACTAGATTGCTTATTTAGTTGTTCGGTAGTCCTGGCTGCATATATGGTTATTAGACTATGGCTGCCAAGTTATTTGACTATTTTTTTCTAAAAAATATGGTGAAGGTTATATAGGTGGATTTATTCAAAGACAACTACATATACGGCGGATGTAGCATAAAATTTTCAAGGTGACAAATCACAAATAAATATAAAAACTAAGGTTAAAATGTAGTTTTTTATAGGAGAGAATAGCTAGAGTTTGAGTATGATTACACCATGTACAATGGATTCAACATTCTCTCCATTTTCAACACCTTTATTTTCATTCCACATTATATATATTCTCTCTTTTACATAATTTATTCAACACTCACTTCATTTTTAAACATCTACAATGGTTTGTTTTAAAAATTTCAACACTTTACCCTACAATTTTTAATTCTTTTTTTTACAATGTAATAATTAAATATTAATACGTGACTTAAACTAAAATAATATAAAAATTAATGATATTTATTTTAAATTATTATACTAAGTTTATTTTAAAGTAATATTAAGATCAATAAGAACTAAAAGTTAAATTTTAATAATATATGTTTTAAATTATTATACCAAAATGACGTTTTGTTTTTGGTATCCAAATGAATTGAGAGTAATCTCTATTAATAAATAAATAAAAAGCTTTATTTTTATATTTTTAAAAAAAAATTTATTATAGAAAAAATATGTTTGAATTATTAAGTGAAAAGAAAAAACAAAAAAAAATCTGCATAGTCAATAAAAACGACATGTGGCAGCTATGAATCACAAAAAAAAATTCAACATGTTAAAATTTTATAGCAGGTGTTTATGCCATATAGATAAATCAAATTTATCAACATTCTCGTTGTAAAGGTTTCAACCGATGAAAAGGGTTTTCAACACCTTTATTGTGGATGGTTAAAGAATTTTAAATTTTCATGGATGGTAAGTGCCACCCTCTAGTCTTAATGAACGAACTGTAGGCACTGTAGATACACTAGTCAGAAATTAGAGATTAGAATCAGTTAGTCTTGTCTATCAGGCTATATGGATCATTGTACTACTCGTCAAACAATGACAAGTCTAGAAGCCTAGAAATATGTTTTACAAATTAATATAAACATAATAATATCAGGTCATATAAAATAAAAAAATTTGCTGAACAAAATATTAAACAATGTACTGAAAATGTTTATTTTCT